TCTCATACCAGCAGTCTGGTCCAGTATGGACACTGTAGGAACAATCCTGCAAGTAAAATTTCTTCCTCAGTTAAGTAGCCCTTAGGTGGTTGGCCCAACATCCTCACCTCAAGAAATTAAATTAAAAGTAAAGATACAGAGATGAGCTCAAACCAGCAGAGAAAGGAAAGAATAAATTATACTTACCACTGAAAGGGCTCAGTGAAACAAACAAACAAAAAACCCCAACAACATCCCCCTTCAAAATATCCAACTACTATAGCATGATTTTCATCAAGTGATCACATTATGTTGATTAATCACTGCAGGAAATGAGTACCTCAATTCAGGTTTTATGCAGACCAGAAAGAGGGTGCAAGGAAGTCTGTGTTGCATATTGCTACTATACCTTTCAAGTTTTTATGGCCCTCAAGAGAAATGAGGCATTCATAATCTGGGGGAAAAATAAAAATCATAGAGAGCACCATAAATCTAAAGGACTAAGCTGTGGAAATCACATCTTTAAACTGACACAGCTGTGATTAACTGGCAATGGCTTTTACAGTTAGAAAAGTTTTTGGATATAGTTATTTGCCCAGAGAAAGTTTCTGGTGAAAAAAAAAAAAAAAAAAAAAAAAAATGAACCACATCTTTACAGTAGCTTTGTTCTTTTCTTTGCATTCATGCATGATAGTATTGGCAAGAACACACATCAATAAAGATACACAGAGCAGTCAATGTAAAGGAAGATTTTCCACAAAGTAACATCATTTGTAGGTGATAGAGTTAGATCAAATGGCAAGAATTTTTAGCTTTTTCTACTGGGTCAATGATAACCCTAAAAACCAAAACCAAAATTAGTCCTCATTTGGACCAATTAATAAATTGCTGCACTACACCAAAGCATCTGCTGCCCAGGCCACAGCAACTCCACTTACAAAGAAACAAGTAGAACATTTTTATAATAAATCTCATACACACATAGCATAAAATCTTTTAATTCTCTAAGGAAGTCTGATTCAAGTAAATGGACTTGGGGTTTTCAAATGTCAAAAATTTCTGTGGAGGGAAAGCAAATCCACACAGTAGCTTATTGATGAAAAAGCCTATTTCAAACCAATTTATGGAAATTGTTCAAGCAGATTCATCTACAAGATCAATAACATTCCTTAAAGTAACTAAGACCTCAGTAAGCTTTCCTAATAATAACACAGGAAAAGAAGAATCTGGGAAGGACCCACAATCTAATCTGAACGCTATTTAAAGACATAGCCAGAATTACAGGTAGGGAGTATTTAAAACTTACACTACCGATTTTGCCTAGATGATGGGAAATTCTGAGAGGAAATTGTGTGTATAAAACTCCTTAGCTTTTAACAGCATCCTTCTTGGCATACTCTGTCAGCCACACATTCTTGTTCTAATGTATAAGTTAATAGCTTGTACACATGCTTTTCATATTGCAGGACTGTATTTTCAATACTTTTTTATTATTCATGGCAGCACATTTTTTCATTTTAACTGAAACATTCTCATTATTGTATTATAATGCTAATATTTGATGCTTTTGTAAAGGCTAGCTGTGTGAGCAAAAGAGTGACTGACTGGGAAGAGAACTGCAGTGGATCAGAAATTCAGGTCACATTAGCATAGGTATACCGAATAGGAAGTAATTGAACAACATAACAAACAGCAAAATGGTCATCTCCCCAACAAGTCCTCTACTTCTGGTATTACCAAAAAAAAAAGAAAAAAAAGATAAACCAGCCTGTGAGAGAGGTGCCACAGCTCAGATTTAGCAAGTTGTTTAGCGCCACCCAAAGACCTTTGTAACCAGAGCGTAAAATGAACCAAATGCTGCCGGTACGGTTAAGAGATGCAGCTGAAAAAAAGATGCAAAGGTCCAAAGCATACAGTATCTAAAGAAATCTGAAGAAATCTGAAGAAAGGCTGATATTAAAAGATAAGGTAGTAAGGGAGACCTTGGTGTTTCCTTCACAATAGTCATAAATGAAGATAGTTTTTAATCAGAAAAAAACATGTTACAAGTAGGAGCAGCTTAGCAGCCACAGAACAGACTTGAGCTTTTGATATTTATGTCCTACTGATTAGCACGGCAATCATGAAATCTGTTTGCAGAAGATAATAAAAATCCAAATAGTGTAATAATACAATTTCACACAGTTGGAATACTGTGTGAAGAGCAACATGCCAGCTACGACATAACACCTACAGAGGAGGCATGACCAGTCCCTTGAAATTCCCCACAGGCAAGAATTTAAATGCCTCTAACAAAACATATCATTATTGAGAAGTCAGATCTACCAAAAGCTACCAGATTAAGGTAGTTAAAAACTGTATTTGTAACACACCGCATTTGTCAAAAGTGTTGTAAACAGTGATATACTGATCCTTAATTTTGAGTCAACAGAGCTGTTTTAATTTACATTTCTATATATATGAAAATACATTTGCATTTAAATATATACTTATATAATTACATTAATAGATATATTTAAATTAAATTGGGCTCTTACTCCTCTCAGCCTCAAACTTCATACTGAACTAACCTTGATAGATGACTGTGAGCAGAAATACCTCTAAACCCCAAGCTATTTGTCTAGGAGAGATGGAGGGAGCAAGATTTTTTTCTTAAAGTCAGAAAAATTGTTTATTCAACAGCTCACATGGGAAGAATAATCTGATCAGAGTTGAAAACCAGCAAGGAAAGTATTGGCCACCTATTCCCTTTCTGGACTGTTTTACCTGTCCAGACTCCATCAGAATATGTAAATAAAATATGAGACAGGCTCCACGGAACTGTCAGTTAACTGAGCCATTCTTCATTCTGCACGTGATCTATAAGAAAGTTGCTACTGCTCTAAGTAAGCCTGCTACATGCAAGTACAGTGGGACATTTCCCCAAGCATGCTACTAGACTGAGCTATACAGCTACAGGACAGCAGGTTGAAGAAAACTCTTTTTTTTTTTTTTTTCTTGTTTCTCCTGAACAATGGAAATCTTTCTCTTTAAAAGTTACAAATTAGAACTGCTTTGCTGATGATAAGCTCTGGCTTTTGTTGAGCAAACCTTAAGCCAGGAGTTCCTGTATTTTTTTCCAGACACGATCTCTGGAGACCTGTGCTGCTCTTGCTTCTGCAGCAGTCACTGTTCCTGCTGCTAGCGTTATTCCCACTGCTTCAGCGTTTTGCAAAATGCCAGTTTTTTGGAACTGGCTGAAATCCAATAGCTGACGCCTTGAACAGGGGCTTGCTACATTCAGTGCTGCTAGTAAAAGGGTCTTATGCCCTGTTCAGAGGCTTCAATTTCCGTGTGTTGAATTACACTTCTCTCCCTCAAATGTGAATGGAAAATGTTTGCCACATTTAAGAAAATAATCCCGAGGGAGCTATTATGTGGACTAATAAAAAATGCCAATTTAAATTTTTTTTTTTTTTTTTTTTTTTTTTTTGCTGTTCCCCTTTGTCACCTGTTTTGACACTAGACTTTTGCAAGCCACTGAGCCCTAAATGAACCTTTGTTATATTCCTTAAGATTTCCTCATTAGTAAATGAAGAGCTTGCACTGTGCTGAGAGCTGGAGCCTAGCAAAGTTGTGGCCCTCGGCTACTATGGGCTTCATTCATTTATTGCAACTCTATTTAAGCAGCCTCCCAGTATCTCAGGTGGACAAATCCCTCTTGGAGGGGGCCCAGGCTGTGTGACCTGTGAATGATTATTTGCTGCAAGCTGTACTGCACAGTAATTTACTGTTGGTCAAGTGTGCAAAGACAGCTTAACGAATACAGTATGTACATTTTCCAATGGCCATATTTTCTTGAAGATTTTCTGTTCTTCTTCCTGTCAAAAAGGCACTGTGTATATCTGAAAGTAGCTCTGGTCCACTGCAATAATTTCATGTTGCTGTCAAATAGTGTTTGGATTACTTATCTCTTGGGTCTCACACTGAACTCTTCAACAGGTGAAGACAATATGCCATAAACTTCCTCAATGGAAAACTGACTGTTGATGCATCTTGAGAGAGCTTGCAATGCAGTGACTTGGAAATGGAGAAGCAGTTAAGCCAAAACTGGTATAAACCCTGTTTCTCCTGCTATCTGTGGGTACTGATTTTAGTGGTCTGAGATTTTGCCACTGATTCAGCTCTTGTTTTTCAAGTTTGAAAGTCACTGTTTCTTCCAACTTTAAGGTCTCCAAAATATGGAATATCTCTTCCATTATAGAATTCAAGCTCCAGTCTGTACACTCCAATCAAAGGCAAATTATCAGTCATTTAGGGTAGCAACAATATATTTTTTCCTCTCTCCCATAGTTATATTTGTGTAAAATACTGAACACTACTGAAAATAATAGTACCACTTTGACTTTTCCAACCTAAAATCCGCAATGACAAAATGATTAATTTAACAAAGCAAAAGCTAAAACTTTCAAAATATACCAGTTAATATCGACCCATAATTAAAATGAGCTCATAGGCAGTGAAAAAAATTGTACGCTCACTGAATTAATGACCAGTCTCACAAATGTCTGCATATTTTATGAGCTGCAGATGTGCATTTATACTTTAAACATACCCACATTAAAGTAGAACATGGTTTGTCATATATTTGCTGTGTTTTCATGACAAAAACAGCACTACAGAAAAACAGAGGGATTCTTTAAAAGCAGTTGAGACAACCTTATGCATTTTATATGATACTATACATGCATAATACAGCTTTAATTCCAGTATCTCTACTTTGAACCAATTGTGTAACCCATTCAGATAAACACAGCATGGAAAGCTGGCTTCACTGTTCATCTAAGTGTTTTTTAAAAGATGACTGCAGAAAAATTTGACTCCAGTAATATGTGTAAAAGCATGGCATAACCTTTAGATATCATTGAGATTAGTGAAAGAAACCGCTTCAGACGCTGTTTAATTCTTAGACAACTGTTTAACTTCGAACAGAGTTCTCAAAATACTGCCCAAATGCACAGTACTTGTTGAACAAATTCTGATTTATTGAAAGTAAACATTTACATTGGCTACAATGTTATAACTGTTACAAAGCTGGATAAAAGAGGCTTAAATAGCAATAGAAAGCAAGTGCAGTAAAAAGTGAATAGAGAAAATATTTGGCCTTAGTGATCTTCTGGCAGTATTTACATTATGTACATTTTGTTAAATATTTGTAGTAACTCTAAGGCACCATAGGCTAAATAGCAGGCTGCAGTACTAGTTTGTGCACAGAATTTAATAAACTTATTTAGAGAAAAAAAGGCTGTAGAGTTAAAAGAAACATAGGCATATTTTATGTTTACATAAAGGAGTGGCTGCTTCTTAAAATTCAAAGATACAATACATACTGGGTAAATTCAAAAATTATTTTTATAACATTAAATTATGTTGAAAGTCTGTGTATAAGGACTACTTTTACTGACTTGCTGGTAAATGTTTAATGTAATCTTCAACAGGTTTTTCACACGCTAGATATGCTAATCTACAAACTACTTGAATTATTTTTTTTTTCTTTTTTCTTACAAAAATCTTATACCTAGTATGTATACAAAATCCCACTGTAAAGTGTAATGGGTTCTAATTTACATCATAGTCATTCTGTGGCGGACTGAAACTTAGCAGGAGCGCGCAATCAAAATACTACGAAACAGCAGCTCAAGGTGTTTTATTCCTCCCGCTCTTTTCAGTGGCTGTTACTCCAGCTAGTGAGCAGGGGCACAAAACTGCCACTCCCGGAAATACAGAGGAGGTCAGTGCTTTCAGACCTGACATTTCCAAAACTAGATCCAGAAATTCAAAATACTGGTGACATCCCTGTGCATTTTATACAACACCGTGCACACAGAATGATGCTCTGCTTTGAGTAAATGTTCCTATTTTTATTTATCCCCTTCTGAAGCACAGATGTTCCTCTACTCCTGAGCACTTCAGAGATTAAATTTGACTATTATCACAGACCTGGCTGACTAGACTCAGGATCCTTTCTGAGCAACTTTCAGTGCTACACATAATCTTAACCACTCTCCAAACAACAGACCTTGCTCACTTCAGTCAACAGGCTCGTCTTTCACCTTGAGGTAGTGTTTGTAATGAAGTAATTGCGCAGGTCAACAGTTTAACGCCTCGGTTTTGCAAATAAGCACTGCAGGACACTATGTGCCCTAAGAGCCAAGTGGATGTGTGGCCAGCACCAGCCAGGCTGTTGCGGTGCTGCCAGCACAATGGCCACAGCACCAGCAGACGGTGGAGGGGCCATGCATGGCACAGTTGGGTCCTGTCTGCTGGGGGCTTCCCCTCCTTCTGCCCTTCCTCCTCACCACAACGGCTGCCATCCCGCCATCATGCAGCCAAGGAGAGGCTGAGTCCTGATAACTCCTGCCTGGGCCTACAGGCCAGGCAACGCATGGGTGTCTGCATGCTGACCCCATCACAACAGGCCTTTGCCTCAGCAGCTTCTAAAAGACGTGAGAGCGAGGGTTGACTAGTACAAAAACCACTTATGTTTATTCAAGGGCCTGACCCTCAGCACCTCTGATGGGTGCCCAGCACAACACAGGATCAGGCCCCAAACCTATCTGTTGTGAAAATGCTAAGATTACATAGTGCTTTTGCTCCTGTAGCATTACCTGCCCGTCAGTCATGGCTCATGCTCTTTGCATCTGGCTTAGGTTTTCTAGAGCCGAGAAGAAATCCATCTAAATTAATAAAATGCTTATGTAACTAGATACTGGTTTTATATTTGTTTAGGGTTTCTTTTAGTGATTCTTTCAAAATCATTAATTTCTTCATTAAGTTGTCCCTTTTAGGTTTGGGGGTTTTTTGCACTTTATACTCATCCATGTTGGAAGTACGCTAATTGCTTCCATGGTAGTAAGTGGTATATAAACAGAGTGTAATTTTGCTAAGAACAAAGTCTTCATTTGCACTGATCTTAAATTCGTATTAACAAAAGCATAATCTTAGCATTATTCATCAGACGCATTTTTAGTACCAATGGCTATAATATTAAAATAATATAGCATCAATAACAGGTTTTCAAGGGCTTTAGAGGAAAAATATAAACAGTTCTGGTGTCATTGACTAGTTCCTGTAAAATATTAAGCAGAATATTACACAAACTGGCCATTTAATGATAAGTAATATGAAGCCAAAGACTCGGGTTATCAAAACAGTATAGCACTGCTGAAGAAAACAGCTATGCCAATTCATTGATCATAAGAGAAGATAATTCAAATTGCTTAACCCCTTGAATGCTACATATCTGCCTGAATACCAAGAAAGGTTTAAAAGTAACTTTTTTTATTCCTTTGTCAATGTTTAAAATATTCTGAAGTATAAATCTGGCAATTCAGAATTAGGGTGCGACATTAAGGTATTAACATAAATTTTCTGTCAAACCTTCCCCCTTTGAGGGCTTGTACTGTTCTGTGGGACATAGGAAGATGGTAGAAAGTTCTTTGCCAAGAATTCCCTTGGTTGCTCCGTGCTGGACATTGTCACAGCTAGATAGCTATGGCTTCATGGAGTTTTCTATCAAAAGAGATAGTAGAGCCTAGGGCTCTATTTTCTTTGATTAAAAGTGATCTGTGAAAGCCTACATCTTTATAGCAGCAGTTATAAGGTATGCTCTATCACCAATACGTGTGCATGGTAATAGAGGAAGGGAAATGCAAGGCCTTTGGGGATAACACAAGGTCCTTGCTGAGATGACTCTGACTTTTTATTTTTCATCCCCTGGAATCCATGTGAATGTAAGTATTTGGAACAATCTGGCAACATGCAACTTCTACCCTTGGATAAAACCATGAGGGAAAAATCCTTCAAAGAAAATCTCCAAAGAAAATCTCATCCTTGGTCTTTTTCATTCCAGTTCTTGGTGATAAAGGCTTTGTTTCAGCTTTGAAGTTTGATATAGGAGGGCTATTTATTTTTGAGTAACAGACCCTCAAAGAACCTCCCTCTTTTCCCTCACCTTTTAATGATGAGAACTAATACTTTGTTAAATGATCTGAAGACTCATGTTCACCTGCAGATAATGTAACACCTGAGAATTTTCTTGTTAATATATTGGCTAAAGAAAAAAGTGACCGAGTTACTGTGTAGAAAGCGACTTTTGGTTTAATTCAATTGCTGTTTGTGTCACACTGGGCTTTTGTCCTTCCACAGTCCCCTACAGCATGACACCTTCCCAGGTGGCCCAGTTGCCCTGAGCATGGTGCTGCCGCATAATCATAACTCCATGGGCTGTGTTTCTCCACACTGCAGCTTCATTCTCCCAATCCCTTTTCCTTCCATGCACTGTGTGGGACTGAGCTGCTAATGCTAATTGGGTAGTTCCTCTTTTTTTTTAAATTTCTTTCCTACCATCAAACCGCTGGTCTCTTCAGAACTACGTTTCTCCCTGAAAAGTTTTGCCCTCTCTCCCACTGCTTTGTAATGCCCGAGCTCATCACATTCTGTCTTTTAGTTTTGTCCATCCCCCTCCTCCCCCATGCCTAAGTCAGTCGCTTCAATACTCCCTGAAGTAGGCACCTTAACAACAGCAATGCCTACATATACCTCAGAGACTTGCTTTCCTCCACACTGTCCATTCCTCCTGCTTGTCCATTTAAAACAAACCCCTGAGCAGTCTTAAAATTTGGCAGAGATGTATCTTCCCTCCCCTTTCCAGGGGTTGTACTTATGATGGCACTATGCATGGCCAGTATCATGACCCCCACCGTGCAAACCAAGGCTAACTTGCTGCCATAGCTACATTCCAAGTTTCTTCCTTCAAGGGATTCACTGTGACTCCGCTGCAGCTTGAGGGTACAGGGAAGATGACTGCTTACTTGGCTTCTCCAGTTCACACATGGTCATCTTTCTTTTCTCCTATTTTTTCGAGGAGGCCTCCCAGAGTAGTAGACTATGAGTCCAGCAAGTCAACGTAGGATATCTTTGTGGACTTCTTCCTAGCTTCTTTTTGTTATTCAAAACATAGTGATTCAGACACATATGGCAGGACAAATTATAGAGAGATGGTTACTCCAGGGCTTCAGCTTCACTTCTGAATTATGCTGATTTTGTACACTTACACAACCCAAGGCAGTCCTTATGTAGATAAGACAAATTTCAGAAATCCTCTTTGTTTCAAGAAGTTAACCTGTGTCCCAACATAAAAGATAACAATTAGAGTAGTAGCTCTCAAGTTAGCGGTCCACCAATGGGGGTGAAAGTCAACAGAAATTCAATACCAAAATGCAATTTTCAAACAGAATTGGCTTTACAAGTCTGTATGTGAACCCAGAAAAACTGAAGTCCCCAGCAAATAAATCTCGAGTGCTAAAATACATCTCAAAGTATGTGCTCCTAGACCAAATAACACTATTTTACGTGGATGGAACTTCGATTGCAGCAAGTAATAAGGAAGGGAGTGTAGCTTGAACTAGAAAGAAAGAATCATCCATTACTGCATATTTAATGCAGTTCTGTTTAAAAGAAACAAACACGCCTGTGCTCTGTTTTGCTGTTATTTGGCGCTTCAGTACCTTTATTATGAAAATAACATGATAGAGGATTCAGTCTAATTTTGCTTTCTGAGTTTGCTTGTAACAGTTCTACAGAAGGTAAGTTAAACTGCTCTCCATATTCAAGGGTGTGACTGATGCTTCAGGACAGCTATTGTTAAGGGCTGCCAAGGGCACTCATCAGGGCACAGGACATGCTTTATGCCTTGGAGACTGGGCCCATCCCTACCTGTGTTGCCACCATGCTCACTTAGAAAAAGCACAGAGAGATCTGAACTGTTTTGTTTTTTCTTATGAATAAATCAATAAAAATATTTCACCAAAATTAGTAAATTTTTGCATTTGATGCATTTGATTGTTCTGATGTACCAACAATCAGTTCAGTCATGTAAAAGCCTCAATTCAGCATGTACTTTTAAATATGTGTCTAAATTTAACCTTAGAGCAATTTCACTAAGATGAACACATTACCTAGTATATAAAAGCCAAATTTGTAAAATGAAGTTAACAGCTTCAGGATTTTCAGGAGGTTTGTATAATTAAAAAATGCAATTGAGCTGCTTAATGGATAAGAGTGTTTCCAGAGAAGATAAAGAAAACTAAACACCATCCCATTCATTACTTTTTGCTTTGTTTCACTCATTAAATAAAAAATGTATTGTTGTTTTAACCTCTGACTCTAAACCCTAACTGCATTTGTGTAAAATAAAATGAATCAAAGAAGCTGCAGGTAACCAATCTTTTTAATTTGACATGTTCCAGACAACCTTTTATTGTGTTTAAATATGAGAATATTTTACTTATTGCAAAGTATCCTGCATAATACAGGTGCTCCGCTATAAAATCTTCTCCCTCACTTATAATTCATTCTAAATTTAAAATACCAGATACAGTACTAAAACCTCCAATTGAAGTTTAATATAAAAATATCAGCACAAAACTCCTTTTTAAAGTCTGTTTATTGTGAGCAACCCAAATGCCTGTTTAATTATTATTAATTGTAGTATATTAATAGACTTTGCACCCCTACAGTTGCTAATTCATACCATGTCAGGTATTTTGATGAGATAAGAAATACTAAGTAAGAAAACAGTAAGTATTCAAAGGGTTAATTTGCTTAGAATAATAATAATAAATTAGGTTTTTTGCATCTTCTTCAGTTCAAAATCCAGCTTTGAGACTGAGGAAGGCTTCCAAATCACATCAATTAAATAAGAGTGGTCCTTTTAACCAGTAGCAGTTTGATTGCCAATGACTCGAAGAATCTCTTTATGAATGCTTGGTTCCTGTGTATTTATACTTGTATCACCCACTTGACCATCTTCATAACTAAAAAAAAGTACAGAAAATAAAACCAAATTAGTGTTTTACTAATCTACCTAAACCCATCCAAAACTCTTTCATTCAATAATCAAGACTGCTTATTCCATATGTTAACATCTTTGTATTAAAATGCTCTGCTGAGCTTCACCATTATATGCAGATCCTAAACTCTAGAGAATGAAGGATGGTAAGGCTGCCATTGTTATTGAAAGCCTAAGTCTGAATAAGCCACTAGGGCCCAAAAAGGGCAAGTCATAGGTGAGAGGAGAGATGCTCACATCATAGACAGTAAGCCTTTAATGAATTCCTCAGCTTTAAAACATACAGCCAGATAGAAATGATATTTTATGATACATGGATAAACTTACTATAACATGAAGTAATTTTATAGAGTGGGAAAAATCTGTAGCTCTCCATGTACTCTATAACAAAACATCTACTAAGCCTTTGTCAATAGTTTATCCATAAATTTCCTAAGAAAAGTAAGTACAGAGAAAGATTAAAAAATTAAGTGATACTGAAAAGAATTTTTCAGTGAAAAGGAAAAAACATATTTTATCTACTTCAATTACAACTATTAGAGGGAACATGGGGGAAAAGTTCTAGGATGAACAGAAGCTGAATGTCAAAAGAAGCCTTGTACTCACACAAAGAAAAATCTTGTACACACATGATCCGTATTGGGAACTACCCATATCTCTCCATGTTTGTGCAGATCGGATGAGGTTATCACTATCAGGGAAGGAATAAATTTCATAGTGATGAAAAAATGCCTAGAAAATTTGCTTTAAAAGATTTTCTTTTATATATACTTTAAATAGCTTCCTGGGAATGTGTAGTTTTCCACTGCATGTCTGTGGTGTGGGGTAGACCCTGAGTTGACTGCTAGTACAAACAGGGAGATGAATTTGATTCTTGTTTCCAAAATATGTTATATTTTCCAGAAAGCATGGATGTCTGGGAGACAGTTGTTAATTGGAATGAAAAATGGAAAAGTATATTTATTTAAAACATTTTAAATGGCAATATGACTTAAGGAGGATCTGAGTCAACTAACCAGCATTTAGAACACAGATACTTGTGTTTAATGATGGCTGAGCTGAAAATAAGATGTCAAAGACAAAGCCTGAAACAGATATAACAAATCTGGGATTTGCAATACTACCAAATATTTTTAAAAGTTAAGCATACCAATTAGGACTCAAGGGGATCACAAGCTTGCCAAAACTTGCTCAATGTTTAGAAAACAGCAATGTATTTGATCATGGGTTGTTTAACACCAGAATGAGGACAACACTGGAAACAAACCTTTTTACTGCTAGGTAGAAGCTATGCTGTAAGTCTGTATTTGAAAAGAAAAAAAACACTACATGCATTTAACAAGTTGTCCAGCCATGGGTGAGTGGGTTCACAGTGTGCTGGGTGAAGAACTGGCTGCAGGGCAGAGCTCAAAGGGTTGTAGTGAACGGGGCTACATCTGCCTGGAGACCAGTCACTAGCAGTGATCCTCAGGGCTCAGCTCTAGGGCCAGTTCTACTCAGTATATGTATCAACCATCTGGATGCAGGAGTTGAATGCACCACTAGCAAGTTTGCTGTTAACTCTCTTGAGGGACAGGAGGCCTTGCAGAGGGATGTAGATAGATTGCAAAACTGGGCAATGATTAATGGGATTAAAATTTAACAAGTCAAAATGCTGAATTCTGCACCTAGGTCAGAGTAAGACCAAGCACAAGATTAAATTGTGAGAGGAGTGTCTGGGGAGCATCCCTGCAGAAAGGGCTCTGGGGGCGCTGGCTGACAGCAGGCTCACGGTGAGCCAGCAGTGTGCCCTGGCAGCCAGGAGGGCAAACCGCAGCCTGGGGTGCATCAGACACAGCGCGGCCAGCCGGGCAACGGCGGGGGTTATCTGCTCTGTTCAGTGCTGGTGACAATCAGTAATCTATTAGTAAGTGTGAGGAAAGAATGTGGAAAGATGTCATGTTTATTTAGAAACTTCAAACATCAAATGCCAAGTAAATTCTAGTAAACCCTAGATTAATTTCATATCTTCTTCTGAGAGTCTTAGAACTAAACTTCTGTATTTTGCTGTTCAGATCAAATTGCATTTTCATGTTGACAGACATCTCCATAATCATATTAGATATTGCATTTGAATGTTCTCAAAAATATATGTATTAAAAAGTATCATATATACTTTAAAGCTTCCAATTTGTAATAACATCTTCTCCACCATCTGTCTTAACTTTTAGTTTTAAAAATTAACAGATGGTCTAAATGAAGGACAAGTTTAATATAATTTCTCCTTGTTTCGCCTTTGAGACTAGTTACCAATTACTGTTACAATTCTTATTCAAATTCCATAATTCTTTGTTCTCAAAACCTGCTGAGGTTTCATTAGTTATTAAAAGAATAGCCATGTCTGTCAAGAATGGCTGTAGTCATATGCACTGGATTTTAGCTTCACAAAATTTCTGAAGGAGTCAGAGAATAGACTTGTTACAATATGAATAGGGTATTTGCCTGAGGAGTGAAAAATTATTTGGAAATTCAATAGCAAAGCTGTTTTTTCTGACTTTTTGGTGTTGAATGCATTTGTCAAGAGCTTGCAGGAAGTCAGTGTTTCAAATAAAGGCCACAACTTGGGTTATATTGGTGGCTTAGGAATATGATCACATTTGAAAGACAGACCAGATGATCAGTCACTTAATGCGTATGAATATTTCATGGAAGTTCAGCATGTGTTACAGATTTTGTTCAAAGAGGGAAATGTTCTGAACTGTAATATAAAGGTCAGCTACTAAGCAAGTACTTGTACGCCTACCAGTAGTCTCTTACCTAAAACCAACCAGTACTGGAACTAAAGGTCTCCCTGATTTGCATCCAGTAACACTGTCCACGACTAAACCAGTTTTTCAAGGGCTTTCAGCTTACCTTCACATAAGGCTATGCATTTTAAGTTACGGCTTTGCAGAAATTGTGACTGTTGTCCTTTCTTCTGTGACTGAGATGTAAAAACATGAGAAAACTTAATTAGTGCATTAAGCCAAGCGGAGTGAAAAAGGAACAAAGGAGAGGGCTGCTATTTTCAATGGTTTACTAATGAACAAAGATAGAGGAAGTAGTTCTAAATCTTTTCTATTGTATTTGTAAATGTAATAGACTTTCTAAAAGCATATATATTATTTGTCTGGATTTGAACTTCTTTATCCAGAAAGAAAATCTCTGAATTATTACAGAATAAATATATAATATTTGTTACTAATAAACAAATAGCATATAAAAATATATAATATTTGTTACTAATAAACAAATTGACAGCAGGAAAAAAAAAAAAGTTAATTTGACTACTGATTCTTTGGCCACTACCCGAATTTTACTGGACTTCCCATTTCTGAGGGCTTCTGCTGTTACACACTGATCTCTCTCCAAAATCAGTTTATTCTGTAGTTCCTATGATCTAACTATGGAGACAGATGTAAGATTTCTTTCTCAAAATTTAGCCCAATATATAAAATCTATGAGTTTGCTTTAGATAAAGCTGAATTGTAATGTTTTAATATGTAAAAACCACAAAGAAAGAAAAAACCTACTTGCTATAAATGAAATGTTACTCATTTTCCAGCAATAACCACTCTCAAATCCTTTTGCATCATCCTTCTGCAAGCCTAGCACTCAGAAAACAAGGACTTGATAAGGGTTATAATGTAATCTGTGTTTAATTTTCATTCTTTTCTTAACTCTTCTGCTGGGAAAAGATCTGCAGTATACTCTGTAAATTGTTACTAAAAGCAGTTGGGCTGTATTTGATGTTTGCAGTCTCTGAAGCTGTTGATTTCATTCAATAAAATAAAACTGTTAGCTTTCATTAAGGGAACACTACCTCCTTCTCAGCTATCAAGTTCCCAAGCATAAAACTGTAAGTTTTCCAGAGATGGTTGATGTACTGTACCTGTGATGTATTACTGCCCTTACTGCCTGAAGCTGGTTCATCTTTAGCTGACACTTTCTGCTGCTTCTTGTTCATCCCTAGGAATATTAAAATCATGTAAGATATCCTGGCATATTGATACCATCATATGCAAATTTAAGTATGGAGAATGAAACAGGTAGCACAGTGGGAATCACAGACCTTTGCATGGCACTCAAAAAGCTAGTTAACTTTGTCACAGAACATCTCAGTTTAAACCTGCAAATTTCCAGTACATCTGCACGTATTGCAAAGATCATAGGAAAGTCAAGTTAGCAAAAGGTGCAAAAGCAGATAAACATGAGCTTAAATGCCACTGAATTCAGCTCAGGAATGCTCTTAGGTAGTTGCTGAACTGAGTTGCATGCCACCATGTCTTGAGTCTAACTGACCCTAATCAGGCTGAAGTAACACAGCCTGACTTACTGTGGGTGGAATACTAAAATCATGAGAGAAACAATTTCAGATATTAATCTTTAATTTTTTTTTTAGACTTAGTAAAAGTCTAACTAATTTTTACGACTAGTCTATTTTGGTTTAATTACTTTAGCTACATGCAAAAGTATTAAATTATTGTCAGCCACGTTGGATCTAATTTCCACCTCAGAAATCTAAACATCTATATCTGTGCCTTAGATCTCTTTTATATTCCTCATGTTACTCTATGTAAAATTCCAGTATTGTATGCTACTACAAGATTCCTTGACTTTCCAGTATCCCATATTTCTGGTCAGTTTGTAAACAAAGACTGAATTATGGGGAAGTTTATCTCCTTGAAGCAACAGGGAGTGTAGGACTCCTCTCTGGTTTTTATTGGCATCAAGTATTACATACTTCATAGGAACACAGGCCTCCTTTCTGGAAAAGATGGGATGGAAGGGAGCAAGAACAGTAGAGAGATGAGAAAAAACACAGTGAAGCTGACAAAGCAGTGTTGTCCAAAAAGAAAGGCATTTTGTTAGATAATACTGCAACCTGCATTTTTAGTAAATCCTAAAAAGCTTCGATATTAATGTAATCTATGAAGAGCTAAAAGTGCATTTAGAGATTATTGATATTGAAATTCAATAAATAGTAGTAAAAAATGCTGAGCTCTTAAAATGAATTGTGACATTACCTAAAAATACTGAAATCAGAAAGCATAACTAAACTCTCAGAATTATCTACATACACACAAACACACATCCAACTATACCATCACTTTCGTATGTGAGGAAATGGTAAACACAACATAGCTAAAGGAAAAAGTCACCATATTTTAAAATCTCTTAAATTTCTTAATATACACATATATATTCTGTTATGCTTCTATTTACGATATACTTCTTATATGGCAAATTCTGCATGACTCCCTATTGGATTTACTAGTGGGGCAAATTACATTTCCTCCCCTTCTCATGCTAAAATAACCTCTCTGTCCTGTACTTTCTATGTAATCCTGACATGGTGATAGCTAGGAACAATCTTAAATATACACAGTTGAACATGTCTATTGATGAATTTTTGTCAGATCAGGTCATAAAAGCCCATGAATCCATAGATAATGTTAGATGAACTTAGGCAGATACTGACAAAAAAATCACAAAGTAGGATTTCTATTGCATAATCAGTACAACATCCACTATTAGCTACTATTTACATCAAGCACAGTTTACAGATACTCAGAACCTTGGAAAATGAGGACAAGTATTTAATTTTCTCTTTTTTGAATAAATTAAATCTTGGTCGACAAAGACCAAACTTAATACAGTCTTGTAAACAGCAAAGCTGGTAAGAAAAGCAGTGTACTAAGACCCCCCGCTATGTTTCTCCATTTTAGAGTGATATATAAATATCACCTGAGTATCCAAATGATATGCTTGACAATGGACTAAGGTAGATTCCACTTCCAAACATTGCACCATGGAGCTGAAAAAGAGCGGAGTGATTGTTTAACATTAATTTGGTTATCTGGACAAAATAATAATGATAGGAACAGGTTGAAATGTAGATAAGCATCTGCCCCATAGCACTAATTTATTACCTTGTAATAAGGTAGTCTTTAGAAAAAACATGCTGTGAATATACAACTAAAATACTAATACATTCTGGAAACCATGTCCAAATGCCCCAACATAATTTTACAACAGATTTATATATAAAATTGCGTTTTCTGTTTTTAAATGTAACATTACCATGGTGGATGCCCACAGATGGTGCTTCTGTATATGGCCAAATATACCTTAGTCTTAACAAGGCTGAGCAAGCTCAGCACGTGCCTGCCTTGGCAGGAAGCATAGCCTAAACTAGTCTCTGTGAACCAACAGCAGCAACAGCTGCTTTTCTTTTTTTTTTAAGGTCATATGTTATAGAAAAATGTAATCACTAATTCAGCCTGAGTACTGGAGGAATGGGTTCAGGTGTGCATATTCCATCACAGCAGGACTGTGTTTTAGTCATAAAGCTACCAGCTGTCTGAGAAGAATAGATGAAAGAGAAGACTATTCTTCACCAACATCACTGTTCCACGTCACAAAGTTTGGGTTAAGCAACAAATTTCAATTCTCCACCACGGACTGACTTCATGTGGAAAAGCCTCTAAAGAAAACGCACCAAGTATCTGCTAGAGCACAAATGAGAACCCAGAGTATCTCCTACCTAGGCAGATGTTATGACCACTGGGCTTCAGAGTCATGCTCACCCTTATTTCTTTCCTCTGACCCAATGATATTTACATCACCTCTGCAATATGCCAGAGCTCTCAGGAATGTGCAAACATGCTTTCACTCCTCCAGATTCTACAATGTTGTATAGGATCCTTGGTGAGTAAGTATTTTTTCTGACTGGTTGGAACTGGGGTAAATGGGATGAACTGGGCTCAAGATATATGCCTCAGGTGTGTGAGAGAGCTAAAAATGATAACATATATTTAAAATGGGGCTTTATTGCTTCTTCCTATTCCCAGTATGTCAACCCTCAACAAAAAAATAAACATGAACAAAGGGGTTTACTTTGGTGAATTTCAGTGTGTAAATCCTGCTTTCTTGGGGAATTATATTCCAAATATACTAATAAACACACCCAAACCACTAAGAGGAACAGCAGAGATTTCCATTTCCTTTTTTTTTTTTTTTTTTTCTTCAGTGTCTTCTGTATCCCAATCCTTAGCCAGGACCCTGGGATCCTCCTCTAAGGTATCATGGACTCAGCTCCGGGGAAGAGCTGTCAAACACATGATGCTAAAATACTCTGAGTTACAGCTCCTCAGTCCCTCTGGTTCTTGCTACTTTGCTCTGCAGTAGTGCTCTCCTGATGATTCAGTCTGAGAAAATGAACTGAAGTTTGCGATAGCTCCCTCCTGGAAAATACACTCATATTTCCATTCCCAAGGAAACCAGGGAAAAGAAGATGCTGTAAATCCAGTTTCTGTAAACCTAGTATGCTCTTGGATCCTATAACATGGAGATAATTTAAGTAGCTCTAAATTTTAATACCGACTGCTTTTAAGTAGTACCGAGCTAAGCCTCCTGGAGGTGCTGCTCTGCAACACAAAACTGAAACACTGATTCCAGCAATAGGATTTTCTAGCCATTTTAGCAGATGCATTATATCATTTTAATTGCATCAGAAAAGTACCTTTTCAGGATACAAGATTGTATTTGAAATCATCCCTTTTTTCAACCTATATGACTACCAGAACCAACATGGTCTGAAAACTTGCCTAAACATGTAATCAATAGCTAAAGTGTGTTTAATCTACTATTTACCTGCAGCCTCGTATTGGAAGCAACAACTAAGCCGTTCCTCAGGATGGAATGCCAATTTTCAATGTGTGAACCACTGAAAAAATGAAAAAGCAAGTGCTAAAATCCACACTATAAAATGCAAAATTAAGTAAGTAATGTTTTAAAACAATAAATTCACAGCTGTAAACCTCAAATGGCAAGAACAAAAAATTATAATGGCATCTGGATAACCTTTGATTAATATGAATATATGTACTTACTGAAATGCAAAGGTACTTCCATAGAGATTTTTAGCAGCTCGGAAATTGGATTCTTTGGCTGGTGGACTGCTGAGAAGTAGAAACTGGTGGGGAGTGTGCATAAACTTTAGTTGCTGTAAAACATAACAGTGCAGAAGTGAAAAGAAGTTCATTAACACAAAAGTATTTCCATAATGGTAGTTCTGCAGATACCATGCTGTTTCACACAGTACATAACTGCATCTAAGTAACTATGTGAACTAAGTTGAAATTGGTGTCGTTACCATAGTTTTTACCTGAAATCAAACAGTAAAAATGTCTTTCAGTTTATGAAACATACGGCAGTATCTGAAACAGATTTCAGCCTAATATGGCTCTAAGTAAAAGTAACTAAACTGAACAATTTCATCATGGTATTCTGATTAGAGATGGCTTTGAACTAAGGTTCAGATTTGAAAGGCTGCAGATTACTATGCCCTTAATCAGAGGATCAGAGGCACACATACTCAGAAATGAATCTCAGCACCATCCCTCTAAAATTCAAGAGCTATACTCTTTTGTGGATCTCCTACTGTATCATGTTTGTGTGCACTGCTTTCTGTAGAGTTCTGTATCTAATATTCTATATGGCAACAAAACAGTGAAGCTATTCTCAATCAATCTCAGATAACTACAGTGTGGACACTTGTATCCGAGCTACTCACCTCAAACAGGCTTTTTATGAGCATTATTCCTTTGACCTATTTTAGATATTCACAACATGATTCTATGAGTCATGACCTGAAACCGCTTATTCTTCTCCCTTGTCTATTAATGGAGTCCATGTGATCTGTCTGAATGTAGAAACCTATGTTTGGCTAGGAGACTCCCACCTAAAATGCTAATATGAGCCACAAGAAATGAGAAAATAATAGCCCACAGATACTTACCCTATTCACTGGTAGCTTCACAATATGTGATCTATTACTAGAAATAACCCTAAAATAAGAAACAGTTAGATGTATTAGACATAGTAACCAAACAGAACTTTTATTCTTAAAAATGTGTTATGAATGGCCACCACAAAGCACCCAGCTGCAGGCCTTTGAACCTATCAGATGGAAGTTGACCAAATCTTGACTAGAAAATGAGATCAGAGGCTGTACAAATAAGCTGGATCTTTTCTAGTGTTTTCAGAGTGCTCAGATGAGGTCCAGAAACAGTCCAGAAACATTTACAGTTGCAAATGTCAACCCTGACATTAATTCTGAGGGTGAGCTTATACCAAATTACACTGGTGAAGTGATTACTCATTATACTTGGTACTTTAATAATTATCATCTCATGTGAGTCTATTTTATACCATTGTAGAAGAGGATGTGCAAGGGGATCTTGTTTATCCATCTGCTTCTTTATTTCCAAGTAAGGTGCCTAGAAAAGAGTAATGGCATTCTTTATTTCTAGTTGAAATTATAAGGTTAAATTTTATATGTTACATTGCCTAAGATTTAATCTATTAAAATGAATACAAGGGACTCATTACTGGCTTAAATCACAGTTTTACTGACATATAGCGTTGTACAATTATAAATGTATTTTGACAACAACAGGAATTAATATAGCAATTATTTTCCCTGGAGTAAAATAATAAGCATATAATTAGCATCAAAATGAGTATATTACAGCAAACATTGGTGATCTCAGGCAGAGCAGGAGAAGATGTCTATTTATGTTCAGATCTTGGATTAAGAAATTGGATTAGAACTTCACAAAATTAAGTCTCTCAAAATATCCCAAGATAATTCACTCAATTTTTTTTTTAACTGTTTCATGGCATAAACTGGTAAAATACCATATCAATTTATAATCCCTTCAAAAACCTTTCTTGATTTCAGTCACAGTGCAAAGCATCCCTTTAAAACTCTTCAATCCAAGAATTATTTTAACATTAAAAAAAAAAAGAAAAATGGTGGTTATTTTTCTTTACAAAAGTAATTATATTAAGTAACAGAAATACCTGAGTTTTTAAATGTTTACAAGATCATATATTAAGTAACAAAAATATGTGAATTTTACTTTTAAATTTACTCTACTCCTGTCTATACACCTCATTCTTCATTCCAGGATCCCAAAGTGCTTTATGAATACATATAGGGTAAGATTTATAAACTGCTGTGAGTTTACATTTATATAGCAGGTAGAAAAGCAAGGTATGTGGAAGAGATTTCAATAATCAGTTATAATCATCTGGGTTGTTTGCGAAAGGAAGTGTAACAATAAACATAAGTATAGCTATCAGAGTCTGTCCCATCGTGAATATTGAGAAATCATATGGTAGTAATCCCAAGAGACCCAACCTTCCAAGTCCCCAACCATACTTAGCTGATCAAGTGGTTTTCTATAACAGAAATAAAGCTATCATTCAGAACACTGTAAAAATCAATTTCTTTTGCTTTGTAAATAAAAGACTCAGTTTGGCTTTGATATTTCAGAAATGAAGCAGTTGATGGTTATCTCATTACAATGCAGGTTCTGCTGTTATTACCTCTTATTGAAACTTCAAAAGATCTGAGTTCTTCTTTATCGCTATTTATTGGCTGTCATTACGGATACTCTAGGTTTGTTATTTTTAACACACATTTTAATATTATTACAGCTCTATATGAGAGAGATGATACTAATGAACTCCTCACCCATCATAGGCAAGCCAAATAAGCATCTTCCTAGTTCTAGAAATAACAATTAAGTTAGGTAAAGATTTTTAAACTCACCTGTGTCATCTCTCTAATAGAAGTGATACTGTCCAATGCTTTCATGACTCGGTCATAATTCTTCTTCTGATATAGCATAAAATAAGCAAATAAATTTAAAGAACATTATTATAGTCTTTGGCTCTACAAACCCCAAAATTCTTTGTGTGTCTAAAACAAAAGCTAGGATGAATGTTCAGCAAATCAATCCTTTCAAACATTTCTAACTAATAGCTTCCTTCCACCTTATTCATAGTGCAGGAAAATTCCCTGAAAAAATATTATCATGATTGTTTCTCCTTGAATTTCACTAGACTCTCCAACATAGTCAAAACATTAGCTCACTTTTTTTAAACAAATATTTATAAACACAGGTTCTTACAGTCATTTGGACAACATTCTATTAAGTTAAATAATTCAGTGACCAAATAGATTTTAAATAAAATGCTAAACAAACAGATGTTTATTTTGCTAACAGCTCTATTAAACATCATAGGTCCTCCAGCTGTCCCACTGCCTCACCCTGAACCTTGTCTACCTTCTGCTTGGGAACCACTACCAGATGGCTCCACCATTTCCAAGTAGATGAGTTTAGCAGTCTCTGCTTCACCAGCTCCACATGTCACATCACCTTCAGGAGCTTCACTGTTCCCCATCTTCGGGTCTTGCCAACATTTGCCATGGGCTTTCACCTCACCCATGCTGGCAAGAAGCTGGGAGCAGGTGGTGTGGGCCCTGCCAGCTCAGGGACTCTCTCCATTCCACTCTGGTGTGATCTTTCATATCCCCTCATTTGCTTCCAACTCCTGTCTTGCCCAGGCACCAGACTACATGTCTCCTCATCAGCCCCCTTCCAAGCACCTCCTGGCAAGTCTTTCTTCCCACACGCTACAGAACATGCTTGCCCGTTCCTGAGGAAGAACCACTGCTAGCTAGTCTTTGCTCAGAAAATAGTGAAATGCATCCCAATGCAGAACATTCAAAGTTCTCATTTATGCTCTTGGGGATGGCTCAAGTGAGATGCAATAGTTCATGGCTTCTTGAGGGCTGTCCTGAGAGACAGTATTTGCAGCCTAAGGAGCAAATAGTGCAAACGCAATTCTTTATTTCAAAATCGATGCTTGTACAAAACTCAGCTGTTGTGTCAACATTTAATAAAATTACATTTAAGGACATAATTGTTTGCAAAGAGCAAATGAGATGATAACAATAACAGCTCTGAGAACAAAAGGATAGACTGCAAATCCTGCAGTTAACATGGTCTACACCTCCCAAAGGCTATCTTTCTCTTTGTGTCCAATGCGTACACAGAGAGAAAGACACCAAGAATATAAAATTTTGCATCTAGAATTTGTACCCTAAAAGAATGTATTGGCTTCAACATAACTTTGAACAGAACTTAAGAGTTCATCCTCAAATACCTTCTCAGGGACAACTACAAAAGTTACAAAGTTCTGAAAACTGTCACCCGCTTGTGCTATATGCTGGAGCTTTCTGTCTTATAGTAAAGGAGATTCCTTTTTATATGCTGGAGCTTTCTCTCTTACAGTAAAGGAGAGTCCTCTGGAAGAAGGCTTTGCTTTGAAGTCTCATGCATGACTAAAACCAAGCTATGAAATAATGAGAGTTAACTACTTACCCTGGGGTTAAAGGCCAGCATCTGAGGATCATTAGGATCAACTACAGAAGGATATGGCTCAAAAATGACAACTTTCCTAGGTGACTCTAATGCAGACCGACACATGGATACTAACAGATCAACCACCTAGGAATAATGAAAAATATTTATTCAATGTATGTACTTTCATATTGTATCTTCCAATCTGCTTTTTTTCACACATTATAGTAATATCGTATTTCACTGTTACCTGTATTACCCAAACCATGTTATCCACAGGACATAGTTCAGGACTGAAATTTTTCCACTGACCTTAACAGGAATCAGGTACATTATTCCAAGTGGGTACGTAGGACCCACATCTGGTCCTAAATGTATTATGATGTCAAATACATTGCTTGCAGTCCTGCTTTCTCTTGTGAATATATGCTAATTTCTGGATTAAATTCATTCTCTAGGGAACTGAAGTCGTGCTGGATCTGTGTAGAGATGCCAGTGAAAAATGTTGCTCAAGAATAAGGGTTTGTGAATCTGTACCACTGTCTGCTCTTCTCCTGAAGACCTCAATCATAGAAACACTTGTAAACACTGCTTCTGCTAAAGTCAGAACAGTGCAATGATTTAACAGTCATTTGCATAGCTCACACTGGGACACCTTTTTTCTTCCATCTTGCTGTACAAATGACAACATGGCTTTGAATATCTATTATTTCCAAGATTTCACCATAAGGTCAAGAGTGTAATGTGTATACAGGCATGTATTCACATATGTATACACAGGCACATATACCACTTAACAACAAATTTCTGTAAAATTGTTTCAAAATTAGTAACTCAGAGGTTAAAAATAGAATACAGCAATCACAAACCAGAGAGAATGCAGCTTTCTGGCAGCTGTGAAAAGTAAATCCAGCTCGTAATGCAATCCAAAGTTGCTACATAAAAATGCAGCTGCAAATTTATACATTTTCCCATTTTTCCATGCCTTCTGAAAACATTCCTGTGTGAAAACAGACTTTTCTATGACAGAAAGGAAAAGTCGAGATGAGTCGTACTTAGTAGGCATGCCTGGTTCCTCCCACAACTCCATGCGGATCAGATCTCATCTCAAAGCTCAAGCTATTCTAGAAGTTCTCATATAGTTGCCATCGTATCTGATCATTTGGGCAAAAATTAAAAAGACGGTCCTTTAGAGAAGCAGAATGAAAATAATAATCATGATGAAAAGGGAAAGGAACAGTGCTTCAGTGAGTCATACTGTTGTCATTCTCCTCCTCTGCTCCTTTAGCATGAATGGACAATTTTCTCCATGACTTTAAAAATATTCTTTCAGTTCCAGTTACTAAATATCTCAGATATACTGAAAAATGAAGTTATTTAAATAATGATTCCTTCCTCCATGGTGCTCTGATTACTTTCCAGCTTAAAATACCTTTAAGTGTGGAATGTTTCAAAACAAGGCATCTGCATTAGCATTTGCAAAGGAGACCAGGAGTATGCACACAAAAACAGGTCAAGGGACAGGCCTGCAACTCTCAATGTATTACCATGAAACTGAGCCAGAGTTCATACATCCCACTTCTCAGAAGCCCTTCTTAGCCTCCAGTCACAGAACACTACTAGGCAAGAGCTGTTTGAGCCCCTAAAGCTCTTAAAACAGTGACCCAAAGTTGTCTTCCTTTATGATTTGTATGATGGGACTTTGTCTTAAAAGTACACAGATCTTCTTAGAGCAGCATCCCAAAGCCCTTCTTTAAACGGTTTACTCCTCTATTGTTTCTCACCATGATACCTGCATATTGCTCTGAGATGGGAAGACATGCATAGATTAGTCTTAGTTAAACCCCCAGCTTCCCCTGGGATCATTGTTTTGAGCAGATGGAATGCAGAGTAACTTAAGCTGGGAGGTAGGTCTAATACAAACATTATAACACAAACTTACATATGTATTTCTTGGTAATAGGAAGTGCTGTGGATCTAGTAAACATCCGTACAGCTGGGCCTCAACTATTTCTCTTTAACAGTAGGTACTGAAGTGCATAAGTAAGGATTACAATATTTACAAGAATGACAAGACGACACTTGCTGATGACACTTCCCTCTTACAGTATCAATCTCCCAGACAGTGCCCCTCTCTCCAGAGATTCTCTACAGGGAGTCTGAACTATCAAGAAATCAGGCATTTAGTTTTCAGACATTTTGACTATGAGGTAAGGTGAGTTTGGCATGAAAGTTTTAGAAAGTATAATCACTTACTATAAGGAGGAGCCATCAGAATATTTGGAGTGACAAAGTAGGGGTATGTACCTTAGAAAACTAGCTGAAAGCACAGCACTAAAAAAATAAGATGTGTTTTCTAATAATGGGAACCTCTATTTAGGCTCCTTCTCCACACAAAATGATTTGGAGGAAGATTCATCTGACAAAATGTAGAGATTCACAAGGTGAACATCTAACTCTTACCAGTCAGCCTAGGCTCTCTTTATAATCAGTGGATGATAGTTTATGCTGTGATTTGCACTATCCTAAACTAATGTTCAAAACAGTTTAGATGAATCAAACCCTAGAAGTGTTGAAATCTTTCTGGAAGCAGGAATGGTAGCTCAACCAGATCAGATGTAGTGAGCTAGGTGCAATGTTATCACTAGAGTGAAACTTAGCAATTTAGTCACCTAGGTCCAATGGGACAACTGACAAAAGCATTTATTTAACTTTTTAAAGCACCATTAAGGTTGTAATCACTTCAGTACTCTACAGCAAAGCACTGTAGATGCACAGGTATTCTAGACATCTAGAGCAAGCTCCACATATGACTGCAACAGTGATACCTACATAAAACACAGAGTGAGAGCTAACCAGGTCCATCTCTCCTCTCCTGTCAGCTGTTTGCACCTAATGTACAATGTACATGTAATGTACAATATAACTTTGTACCTAATTGTCTTCTAATTTTAGGAAAGCAAACTTCCAGATGTTGAAGGAATCAGTCAATAGGACCCCCTGAGAAACTGCCTTCAGTGACAATGGAGCAGAACAGAGCTGGCAGATCTTTAAGGATGTTTTCCATACAGTGCATGAGCTCTTGATCCCCATGTGTAAGAAAATCAGGAAAGGAAGGCAAGAGACCAGCATGGCTGAGTTAAGACCTGATGGTCAAACTAAAGGGCAAGAAGGAAATGCACAGGCAGTGGAAGCAGGGACAGATATCCTGGGAAGAGTATAGGGACATTGCTGGTTGTGTAGGGATGGGCTCAGGGAGACCAAGGCACAGCTGGAGCTGAACTTGGCAGGGGATGCAAAGAAAGGCTTCAGCCTGGTATGTCAGCCAGAAAAGGAAGGTCAAAGAAAGTGTGCCCCCAGCTGATGAACACAACTGACAAACTGGTACCAAAGGACAAGGAGAAGGCTGAGGTACTCAACAACTTTTTTATTTTACTCTTCATGGGCAGTCTCTCTTCTCTCTTGGGAGTACTGGTGGATGTAAAGCTGGACATGATCCAGCAATGTGCACTCCCAGTCCAGAAAGCCAACAGTAGGCTGGGGGGCATCAGAAGCGTGGTAAGCAGGTCAAGGGAGATGATTCTTCCCTGTACGCTGTTCTGGTGAGATCCTACCTGGAGTACTGTGTCCAGCTCTGGAGTCCTCAGCACAGAAAAGACATGGACCTGCTGGAGTGGGTCCAGAGGAGGGCCACAAAAATGACCAGGGAGATAGAACATCTCTCCTATGAGGAAAGGCTGAGGGAGTTGGGGTTCTGCCTGAAGAAGAGAAGGCTATGGGGAGACCTTATTGCAGCCTTTCAACACTTAAAAGAGGGTTTATAAGAAAGTTGGGGACAAAGATTTTAGCAGAGCCTGCCTGTTGCGATAAAACAAGGGGTAAAGGTTTTAAACGAAAAGAGGGTAGATTTATCGCTACAATGAAGAAATTTTTTATGGTGAGGATGGTGTAACACTGAAACAGGCCCAAAGAGGCTGCAGATGCCTCATCCCTTGAAATATTCAAGGTCAAGCTGGATGAGGCTTTGAGCAACCTGATCTAGTTGAAGATGTCCCTGCTTATTACAGGGGGTATTGAACTAGATGACCTTTAATGGTCCTTTCCAAACCAAACTATTCTATGATTCTAAATGTGCATGTATCACATAAGTGCCTGAACAAACAACAAACTCCAGTCCTCAGAAACACATAGCTGAGGACTTCAGGCTGAGGAAGAGGTAGGGATTCATTAGCACACCTCTCTCCATTTCTTACAAGCTTACACAGGTAACATCCCAATGTTTGGTATGCTAGATGTTGCAAATATAGCCATCTAATGGTCTTCAGACATCAGATGAAGAGTTGATATTCAGATCCTGCAGTCATATTCTCAAGTGAAGAAGCTGATGTACACAGCTGCAAGTTTCTTCCTTTGAGGATACGCCCACAGTTGGTATTCAGGCACTTAGCTGAATAGTTTATTTCCAGTGGCTAGACTCACTAGGGCTAGTTAAAGTTAACTGAACTGAAATTTTGCTCTTCCAAAAAAACATGTTGCTTACTACGTAAAAGCACAGTGAGTGACAGATCTCTAGCAAATCAGAGAGGAATTCACTTTACTCTGAGATGTGCAAACTTTTAATTTAAGATCTTAAAAGGATCTTAAACATAAGAGCTTTTGAATTTACTGGAATCTAAGGCTAAATGGTGTTTGGCAACAGTTAACATACTTTGTTTTAAGGCACATGTACAATTATGAAAGAAAACAATGACATGGTTATAGCTGCATTAGTAATTTAGAGTCAGGAAGCAAGATTATATTCCTAATCCTTGAGAAGAGAGAAAAAAACCTATGTAGCAACATCAGTAAAGACTTTCCCACTGTTATTTAATGATCAAAACAACAGATGCTCAGTGGATAGCTGCATCCCAACACCATGAAAAGGAAGTAGCTTATTAATTGCATGAGAGTAGTAATGGCCCATTAGGTGAAAATAAATGGGAATTATCTGCAAATGACAATGGTTGCCTTTATTAACAACCCAGGTGACCTAATTGAATACAACAAAACAAGAAAACAGGGTTGTTCTAATTACATGTAAGAAAAAGAATGGAAGATCCTCATTAGTACCATTTGAAAATTCCATGCATAAAACAGTATATTTACAGCTATAAGAGTGGACAAATAAATCACCCTTACCAAACAGTACTCATATGAGGAATGCAAGTCAAAATAAATACTAGAAGAGGCTGAGAAGACTGGGTATGCTATAGAAAATCACATGCAATAAGCATTAGGTAATTCTACCTGAGCCCCAGTTGCGATTTCATCAGCAGCTTCGTTCATCACTCCTAATGTTTGGAAAGCAAATACACAGAGCTCCCGTTCACAAACAGTGGGCTACACAAAGAAAGAAAGTTAATTATAATTTTGTGCTAGTTTTGGGTTCTTGGTTTTATCATGTCATACTACAACAAACCCCAAACACATTCAGTGTTAATTTTTTTTCTTCAGATATTAACCACAACATTAATTTCAAGTTATGAATACATGACAATTATTGAGGAAGATGCATTAGAGAAGCATTTTAATAATCTGGAGATTTTAATAATCTGAAGTGTGAAGAACTCTAAAACTTGCAAGTATTCACAGAGGCTATCAAATAGATTACAAAACCAATATTAAAGGCATAGTACCCAAACATCCTTAACACTATCCTATCAGACTCTGCAAGCCTCCTACATAATTAAAATTAATGGAGAACAAATCCAGAAACTAATGGGGGCACATCCCCTTTGTAAATGAAGCTTTCTTCTTCACAGCTTGCAATTCTGCTGTTGAGAACACACACAAAAATCTGATCTAGAAGACAAGTTTCTTGAAGAAGCTACTTTTGTTTTGTCATTAATTTAATAATTTATTTGTAAACTTTAAGGAAATACATTATATTTTTATAGAATAAACACTGATTTAGGAAGGTCACATTAGTTTAATAAAGGTGCTTCCACTCTTTTTTCACGTATTCAAAAAAGTAATAAAACCCCCATGCTGTTGAACCATTCTTTTGACTATATTTTTGCAAAATTTAATTCAGAATGCCATCACAATGATCAAACTATAAAACTTATTTAAACATCATATTGAATGAGAATTGAGTGTTCTGCCTTCATAAAGCAAACAAAAGCAGAAACAAAACACAGCTTGAAGAGAAGGGGCATGCCTTAATAAACTTCCTAATTGGTTACAACACTTATAGCAACTCCATACTTATTTACTGAAAGATAATTAGCAGATCAGTTTTTTAAATGCTCAAGTAATAAATCACACAGTGAATAGTTAAAAGTATTCAAAAAGAACAAAAGGTTGAAAGAAATGCAAGAAAGAAACACAAATTAGAACCTTCCTTAAAATGGACCCCAATAAACATAACTTTTTATTACAATGTTGAAAACAATAAAAAATATTTTGGGGTTAATACTTCTTTGAATCTATATTATAAATCCTAGTTCACTGAAACTCAAAATTAACTCTGGTAGGCCCTACCGAACATTTGTAACTAAAAATTCTGAGTCTAGCTACCATGACAGTTACTAAAGTATTTGTAGCAGTACGCTTTGAAGTTCAAGCCAATGTCTCTAGGAAGCACTTGCAGAAATGAAAGAATGAATTGAGACACAAAGAAAACATAAAATTTAGCTGAATTCTGTTTCAGGCAACAGCTCTGTCAGTAAAAAGCATACTGCTGTATTTGTAGTCACTTGTTTCATACCCCTTAAAATATGCATTTGATGGGTTTCAAAGATTCAAGACTTCAATAAACATCTGAAATCTACTGTATTGACACATTCACCCATCAGTTGCTTTACAAGAGCTATCATCTTTTAAGTCTAATATAGTGTCACCCATTTGATTTATTTTATCTGCTATGTTACATTGCATTAGGCAGCAGATGAAGCCTAACATGATCTGATTCACTGTGCCATGGCATGCTAGACAAAAAGTATTTATTATTGTCATAATTCTTAGGTTTTCCACATTTGGAAGGTGAGTAAATCATCTGCTTAGTTGGGGAAGCATGGTGGCACTATCACCTTGACTATCATAATCAACAGTATACACAAGATTCCCTTTTATATCAGAGAAAAGGATGCTCTTGAATGGCAGACCAATCTAAGTTTAGCCATGCCTGTCATGAAAAAAAGTGTTAAGAGAATACTTATTTTTGACATTTTGTTTACAACCTCAACAAAGTAAGTTATCTTGAACCTTAAAGATGGCAAAGGCAATAGAGAATTTGTCATCTTTGCTTTTTTTTTTTTTTTTTTTCCCCCACTACCCCTTGTGTTATGATCCCAGAAATGTCTGAGCATCTGGAACAGGAAAGTTAGGAAATGGTCTTTGTACTTATGTTTGACATTTGAAGGGCCTTTCTTCTCCCAGGTGGACACTGGAGCTAACATCTTAAGGCTGGAAAACTACAGATATGAGGAGAAGCAAGACAGTAAAATTTGAGTTCTGAAGAGGAACAGACACTACTGTTAAGAGTCTATACAATTCTTCTGATTTTATGTATTTGATGAACATTTATGACCCCCGAGTATTTGGCTCTGGAGTGTAACAGGGAAGATAAGCCAAACCCTGTAGCAATATGGACACTTCAATAGCCTGCCTTTGTATATCCATCCCAGATGCTTTCTAACCCAAAGTCCAGCCATTTTAAGAGCACTTTTGGATCCTGTTTCTGAAATTTGTCACAATTTAAACAAATCAGACACTTTTAACTTAAATTTCCCACAAGAGTTAGTAGAGTGTTTCAAGAGATGTTGGTATTGGCTGCTTCACTGTCCTCTTACTGCAGCGATTAGTTAGGTTCAATCATTTAAACTCCTTTATTTCCCTCCAAAATAAAAGATTGGTTTGTAAGTAAGAAGCAAAGACTTGTAGAGCTTTTGTCACATGATGGTGATTGATATATTCAGTGTCAAATTTCCATATTTTGGTTAGTCTGCAATTGTGCATGCTAGAATCAATGAAAACATATGAAAACTTAAGTTAATAAATCAATTCTAGAAGACAGCTTAAAGAAAATGGCCAAGCTTTCTGGGAAAACTGGGATGTCAAGGCTTCTCTTACACTGCTGCTAATGTTTTGCATACTGCCAGTGTTTCGGCATCCACTAGTCTCTTCTCTTGTAATAGGATGTGAGCTCCTGGGTTAGATAGGAACAGTCTTGTTCTGATTTCATAACCTAAGTATGAGAAATGTCCCTAGCCACGGTAAATAAACAAGAACACCACTATGCATTAATAAAAGATACACCGTTCCAATGTCACTTTTTGGATACTCTTATTTTGGTTCAAGTACATGTACAATTCAGCAAGCTGAACTTTCTAAGAACTTTTGTGTATGTACATGAAAGTATAGTCATGTTTTTACTGATGAGGATCCATATCCATAAAGGTACAGCATACCCAATTTGTATTAGATTACGTTTCCATTATTTTCAAAGGGAAAATACAAGTCAAAATAGGGTTTATACACTTAAGTATATCATTCCAAACATGAACCTCATTTTAGGTGCACACAGAATTTTACAGATTTTACAGATTACCACCATCACCTTGAAAGCATGCACAGCTGACTAGCTGGACAACTTTGCCATTACTGAAGAGGGCAACTCTAAGTCCTCTTCAAGAACAGCAGCTGCTAGTGCTCTCACATACTTTATTTTTCACGTGAAAAGAGAAAATTAACATAAAGCCATCGACGTCCACAAAACTATTAGCTAAATGAAGATAATTGGTGCTGAAAGACTATTTACAAGGCTAAGTATACCAGAGGGGAAAAGCCAGAATAAAATAAGAGGTGGGCAGTTAACCTGAGACTGCAAAAGCTTGGAAGCAGAAGGCACTGACAGAAGCAGAAAGCATTTTTTGAGCTTTTGAGGTTTTCAGAGTTTTCCTTTAGGCATCCTCATTATGTGCATGCTCAGTAGCACCCACCCAACTGCTGCTGTGATGAAAAAGGGCTCAGAGTTTATGTGTATTACAATGCAAGTGTCACTTTTTACAGCAGTGAATGGCAGACAGGCAAACCACCCAGGTACTACAACATATTCTGCTTCCTGGACTCATACACTACTTAAAATATTTTCCAGACATTCTTTCAATTTGAAAAACCTGAAACTTTCACAGCCAGTCTTGATCTTCTTGATACTTTCTATATGTGCTGTGGCTGTGCTGAGAAGAGCAATGTGCCACCCTTTCCTGTATCCTGATGTCTGTCACACAGACACTAATGAGGTTGCAACATGACTGACACAGTGAAAAACTCGAACTAAAAGGACAAGCTCAGGGAAGGCTTAAAACCTGACCTACAGCAAATGTAACAAATGGTGAGGGGAAACCGTTAGTGACCATCTCTCTCCTCCTAATGAAAGCAACAGCATGGAGATGAAATGTGACTTCATGTCTCTGTTCTGTTTCCTACTTTCAACCATAGTAATTATTAGTTTTTCCATAGTAGGCACTTCTGTCTTTCACTTCATTACAGTAATAAGAAGGATGAGGATGGATGAGGATAATACTGAAAATGTGGACAGATGGATACAGAAAAAGGAAGGAAGGAAGGAAGGAAGGAAGGAAGGAAGGAAGGAAGGAAGGAAGGAAGGAAGGAAGGAAGGAAGGATTCAATTCAATTCAAAACTGATGAAATAAAAAGTTTTAGGTAATGTACATCTTAGAACACACTCCAACAGAATCACAAGGTAAACATTTGAGTCCAAACTGTTTGATTTCTGTGTTTACTTAAATAATTACTGAAATCATGAAGAATTACCCTTAACTGTAACATAAGGTTTATCGAGCTTAAGAGTTTAAGGGATTTTAAATTATTAATGATCAATATTATTTTGAAAGGCAAGTTTAACACACATCTGCCTATTCTGCCGTGGTTTATACTTCTGAGTTATGCATCCAGCACTAGCTCATAGTGGATTAAAAAGACTATAATTTATTAAAATTTAAATTTAGCTTTCTATTTTAATAACCTTTATTGATAATTTTTTGCTTTATATAAAAAATATTTAAAAATAAACTTACTCAAATTAAATATTTACTCACACTAATTTAGGAATTGCTTTAAATGTAAAAAATTACCAAGAAGTACACCTGTGCCCTGAATTTTCAAATGAAGTCAAACTACTACAGGGAACTGCAGATATGTTAGTCTAACCTGAATTCCTGGAAAAATTATGGAGATTATACTGTGTACTATTGAAAGTTATTTAAACAATGCAATCATCAGGCTGAATCAACATGGGTTCACAAAAGGGAACTACTGTCTAACTAATTTCATACCCTTGCATGATAAGGTCACCCACTTGGTGGATGAAGAGAAGG